AAGGAGTTCATTATCACTAAGCCATTATTATATGAAATGTTAAAGAGACTTATTTAAGAAAAAGAAAATCAAAACTATGAGCATTAAAATGGTAACAAATTCAAAACTATCAACAACTGATTCCAACAAAACCCCCCCAAAACTAAGCAACAACCAGAACAGGAACAGAATCACAGAAATGGAGATCACATGGAGGGTTATCAGTGGGGAGGGGGAGGGGGAGAATGAGGGAAAAGGTACAGGGAATAAGAAGCATAAATGGTAGGTACAAAATAGGCAGGGGGAGTTTAAGAATAGTATAGGAAAGGGAGAAGCCAAAGATCTTATATATATGACCCATGGACATGAACTAAAGAGGGAATGCTGGAGGGAATGGGGGTACTGGGTGGAGGGGGTAAGGAGGAAAAATTGGGATAACTGTAACAGCAAAATCAATAAAATATATAAAAATGTGCATTTATTCTTACACGTTTAAACTTTAGTCACCTTCAAAATACTCTCCATTTTATGCAATACACCTATTGAGCCTTTTTTCCACCACAAAACAGTTTTTGAACTCATCAATTTTGATGCCTTTTAGTGCTTCTGCTGTTTTTTGTTTCACCTCTTCCACATGGGCAAAATGTTTCCTTTTGAGGATTTTTTTCACCCAGGGAAACAACAAAAAAAAGTAGCTCAGGCCAAGATTGGGTGATTGGGGGGGTGGGGCATGGAGGTTATGCCATTTTTGGTCAAAACTGCTGAACGCTCAGCACAGTGTGGGCAGGTGCACTCTTAAATCACCCATCATGACATGGGCAAATGCGCTGAAAGAGTCTTCAAAAAAATTTCACTGAAGCCGAATGCAGCCTCTCACAACAATGCCAGCTGGCACACTGATACAGATGGGTTCCTAGAAGACTCACCTAGTGGGGGAAGCCTGTACTACAAGGGCCTGCCCTCCAGAAGATAATTCCAGTTCTTTTAACCCTAACCCTTTGTATATGTATTTTTTTATAAATCACAATATCGTAGGTAGGAAAGCCTCACAGGAGGAGTCTGTTAACCCACAGTTTGTCACCATGAGTGCCAGGGGTGTGGAGCCTGGCATTGCACCCTTGCTCCCAGCACACAGAACGGGATGCCCAGCACCCACAGCATGGGCACCTTACAATTACTCATACACATCCTTTTGCCCACCAAACTGCAGGAAAACTGAGGACAGCTCCCTGGTCTTTATTCCTGTAAGCAGAATGGGATCCTCCCTCCAGGGACCTTGGGCGGACCTTGGGTACTGCCCAGCAGATATTTCTCTACTTGTCTCTCTCCCGCCATGGGCAGGGGCTCTTGAGGGAGGGACCACACGTTACTCCTGCCTATGCTCCCAGCTCTCAGTACCCAGTGCAGAGTCTATTGAAGGAGAGAATGAACACAGGAGCAAATACATCTCTGGCAGACTTAAAGTCAAAATGTGTGTGTGTGCATGCAATGAAGCCCCAAGCAATCCTCTAGGCTGCTGTTTGGGGGTTGCCCAGATGGCTTGTTACTAAAGTGGATCACCTGGCCTTACTGCGAAGCCCTTGCATCATGAGTTCTGGGGCAGGCTGGGAAAGCTGACGTTCTAATGAAGCTCTCTGGGAGAGTCTCGTGCATACAGAAGTTTAGGAACCACTGACCTACACGTGAATTCTGCCGAGGGGGATTCTCAAAATTGTCTAGCTTTGAGACCTAAATAGCGAACCAGAGCAGTTATAACAGGGCTGAAAATCAGATCCGGGTGTGTAGGGAATCCGTGGTGGACGGGATCCCCAGGCCACCTGTGTGCAGGTGGACACGCAGAATCCCATTTCTGGGTGTTCCCTGAGGACGGTCACTGGGGGGAGAGCTTCCTGAGGACACAGAGCAGAGCTGGGCCCCGAGCTAAGCCGGATTCCCGGCCTGGGATGCATGGCAAAAATCTCCTCTTCGACACGCCAGCCGGGAGCCACAGGCCCAGCTCCCAGCTGAGAGCGTGCGTACTGAATCAATTAAAATTGAGTCACAGATACAATTGATTTAATGTGTTTAAACGATTTTCTGTATAGTAAACATGCTGAATGGGTGACCCGGAAGAAGGCGTCTGCCTGAGAGGGGAAAATGGATGCGGCGTGTGCTGTATAATGAAAACCCTTCGGCGAAGAGGAAATGCTTCCATCTATTTCCACCTCTCCTGTTCCTCTCCTTTCTAGCTCTTTGTTTATGACTGAACTTGGCCTTCTGTGGTCTCCTTGGACCACAGAGACACTTTTTATATTGTCAGCAGACGTCCTTTTTCTCCCTCTGATCGGAAGACAATTTTAATGAAACCTGTACTACAACCCAGGGACAAGCACCTATTAATGTGGGACAAAGGGGCTCAGAGCAGGAGAAAGGGCGGGGGTGGGGGGAGTGGAGAACTGTTTCTCTATTGCAACCTCTTGCTCAACTGAGGGGCGACTTGCACAAAGAGGGGGAGACGGCACTGAGCGCAGTGGGGGCCGGACCAAGCAGAGCTATCTGGCTTTGCTGAGTCGGTCTCCTCCCTGTGTGACTTTGGAAGCCCCCTGTCTGAACCTCAGATCCTCATCTGCAATGCGAGGGGGTCGATTTGGAGGATCTATAAGACTGCTCTCAGGTCTGATGTTGGCTGAATTATGAGTCACAAGTTGGAGCAGTCATAAATATGTGTCAAGGAATTTCCCATTAAAAAGAAACTCATCTTCGAGCCATGTGAAGTGATTCGGGCAGTCTTATTTAATTGCTCATCAAGCAGGGACTATGAATTATTTGGCTCAGATGAAAGGGAGCACTTAGAAGAGGTTATAAATGATGTCCGGCTAAGATACCTCAGGCCAAATGCCTGAGCTCTGAGGATGCCTGAGGATGATGAGAGATGGCAAAATGCTGCCTAGATTCTGTAGCTCTCTGTCCAGCCACTGCACTTGGGGTTCCATGAACTCAGTCTGTTAAGTGAGAAGCAACGTGGGAAAAGATGACCTGAATAAGTGTTCCCTTGTCTTGAGACAGCTCTGCTGCAATGGGGCCCTGGGGGAGCCCCATCCCTCTGTCAGTCTCAGTCTGGATTTGCACATGAAGAAAAAAGTCCCTGGTGCTCTGCGAGCCTTCCGGAGGGAGGGGTCTCCAGGCTGTTGGGTGGGATGAGGTGGGGGCTATGGGGAGAAGGGGCTGAACAGACAGGGCTCCAGGCTCCTCCTCTGTTCACCTGAGAAGCTCCTTTTCCACCTGAATGATGTATACCAGGCACCATGTGAGATTTTATAAGAGGTTCTGAGGATAAAAAACAATTCTTTTAAACCACTCTTCTGAGGAAAGCTGTTCAACTTTGCAGTCCAAATGTAGGCTGTGCTGCAAACACCCACTTCGCTGGTCCTCGAGCTCCAGCATGCGTTAGAATCACCGAGAGGGTCTGCTACACCGCAGCCATGGGGCCCCAGCCCCCAGGCTCCGAGTCTGTGGGTCTGGGGTGGGGCTGGAGCCTCCGCATTTCTCACTGGCTACCAGGGCACACTGGTGCTGCTGGTCGGGTACACCTGGAGAAGTTCTGACTTTTAAGAGAAAGGCCCATCTCCTTAGATTGTTCCTTCAGAAACAGGCTCCGATCTACCTTCCCAGCCTCGCCGTCCTCCTTTCCAACATTCCCTGCACATGCACATGTGTTTCCCTCTTGCACACCATGCTCCACCTGGCCAGACGCCAGTCCCCTCCCTGCATGCCCGAGGCACAGCTCACAGGCTGCCTCTTCCCAGAGGCCTTCATGGACTTTTTCACCAAAGGTCACAGAAACCCCTCTGGGCTCACACAGCTTCCCCCTCGTCACCTGTGTTGAGGTCTGGCCCTGCATCTGGACCACAGGCTCCAGGACAGGGAGCCCATCTCACTCTCCTCGGTGCCCACACCCCTGTCTGCACCCCTGTCTGCACCCCCGGCACCCGCGCAGGCGCTCAGTGCCCGGCCCACAAGACCAGACCCCAGGGCCGGCCTGAGTGTGCGCACTAGGGATCGGAACATTCAAGAAATGCACCAACCAACTCATCTTATCTTCTTCTGTTAATGCCCCAAGACAGACTGATTCCATAAATGACTCTTTAAAACGGAGGCAGCACTTTAGCCATTTCAACCTACTCTTTAGACACATTTTTCACATTTTCTGGGAGCAGAGTCAATGACAAATACATCATCATGAGACAGAAATCACTGTCACCTAGGTCCATCACAAGGAGGTAGGGTGACACAACAATTAAGAGCCAGGGCCAGTCCAAATTCCAGCTCTCTCTCTGATCAGACCCAGTGCTTAAACACTCTGAGCTCCAGGCTCCTCACCTCTGATGGGGATAACAGTGGACCTACTTCCTGTGATGACAAAGGGATCCGACAAGACCATTATCAACAATAACAATCACTAGCATTTCTCTACCGCCTAGCACCAGGCATGCATTACTGAGTTTAAGCTACATAAAGTGCTTATTAGCATAGTATCTAGCACAGAAGCATTCAAGAATTATTAACCATTATTACCATTGTTAATTTTACCAACTTCTGTGCAAGACACATCATTATCCCCATTTCCCAGATGAAAAACTTGAGGCTCAGAGCAAGTTACCTACCAGAGTAGGTATTATTTCCATTTTGGGAATGAATACTCTGTGTTTAAAGAAGTAACTTGAAAGTAAAGGTCCAGGATTTGAATCTAATGTTAGTCTAGAGCTTCTGCTACCTGCCCCACCTCCCCGCTTGGAGAGTTCCACCTGCTCTGTGGGCAGCCCACTCATTGCAGCCTCTCTAATCCACGCGTTACAGGCAAGCATTTCCCAATGTGCCCGAGAGCACCCACGGCACCTCCCGTTTCAGCAGCCCTGAAAGCCCACGGCGCACAGGAAGTTATGTCAGGGATCCGGTGTCAGAGGGTATATGACACAGCCCTCCTTGCCGTGTGTGTCTCCAAGGGGCACTAAGGAAAGCACAGCCCGGGCGCTGGGACTGACCGTGACCCCGAAGAAGTTGGTCTCGTTCATGGCGTTGAGGATGATCCTGCCCAGCGTGTGGTCCGTGTAGTTGAAGTCCTGGATCCGCTGGTGCCGGCTGCTGGCGTGCAGCGTCTCCATGGCCCTCTGCAGCGTCTTGGCGATGACCCAGATGCCATCATAGGCGTACCCGTGGAACTTGCTGGGCCCCACGCCTGACCGCTTGTTGTTGTACTCTCTCTCATACTGCTGCGGAGTCTGGAAAACAAGGGGTGGGGGACACCACGTTACAGCCGGCAGGACGTCGGGCACACAGTCCCGAGAGCTGAGACTCTCCGAACATCCAGGTTCTTCCTGTGCGTGATCTCATTTAACCCTCACACCCACCTCACAGGGCAGGTACCACCATCGCCCCCGTTTCACAGGTGAGGAAACTGATTCTGGGAAGTTGACTTGCCTAGCACCACCGAGCTAGCAAGGGGCAGGGCTGAGATTTGAACCCTGGTATCTGGCAAAATTAGGGTGAAGGAATCATGAACCCTAACCAGGGTGCCCCCTGATATTTGCAGGGCCTGGGGCTAGAGTACCAGTGGAGGCCCACATCCCATGTCTAAAGATGTTAATTATAGATAGACCAACACACTGATCAATAAAACCTTTTCTACCTCCCCATCATAAGAAATATATCTTCCTAATTGTGGGGCTCCTCAGAGCTTCCGGCTGGACCTGGCAGTGTGAGGAGAGCCGGCCTTGCTCGGTGGTCCACCCTGGCAGCTCAGCCAAGCTCTATCCACACCCGCCTCCCCACCTTCCAGCATCACCAGCCCCCTGCCGCCCCCCTGCCCCAGAGGTGCTGTTCATCCTTAAGAAGATGACCCAGGCAAGAGATTCCCTCGCACCAGAAGCAGCTTCAGCCACTTGGGTAGGGAATTCAGAGTGTGGTCTAGGAAGGAGAGAGGTACAGGCTCTGGCTGGCCATATCTTGGTGGACTTGAGGATTCTGAGCTCCATGCGGCCTGAGCAAGGCCCTCTCAGAGCACGGGGCCTAGGCCAGGTCCCAGGGACCCAGGGGTCAGGGCTGCACTGACCGTACATCATACCCTCCTCTTTCCTCTTGCATAGTATAGCAGGGTCTGGTAATAACTTGGCAATGAACAAAAGAGAATTCTTTTCTCCCATTGAACTGAATTTCAGAACAAAATTTCACTGGTGATATTAACATTCTGACTGTGGTCTCAAAGTACTGAGAGCGCCTTTTCACCCCAGGCCTGGAAGCTCTCTCATCCATTTGAATGCTGCCACGGGGAACCCATTACCCTCGGCCTCTGCAGGGCCTTTTCTCAAATCACATCTGAACTCCTCTCCCAGAAAGGGCATCAGAGCCCACGGTTTAGTCTTTGGAAAAACCCTCTTGGGGGACAAATTACACATAGAAACCATCGATTCACTGTCAGTTTATACTGGGAAGGGCCCTTAGATGTGGGCCCATATATCCCACCTCTGCAGCCTGAGGCACAGAGAGGTCCAGAGATTTGCCCAAGGTCACACAGCTTGTGTCTGGGCGTGAGCATGCGCACATGCACGTGTGTAGCTAGACTGGTCCAATTCCATCTCTGTTATTCTCTCATTTTTGACTTAGGAAGGCATAACTGCTTTTTGAAAACCACCCCAAGTTGTCTGGGGCCAGGCCTCGTGTACAGGACGGTGGTGAAGCTGAGCCACCACAGGCTGGGTGGTGCCAGGGCTGGAGCCCAGGTCACTTGCCCTTGGCTCAAGGCATTAGTAGAGTGCGGTCACTCACAGCTGCTTGGGGACAGCCAAGCCCGTGGGCCCTGCAGACAAAGAATTCTGCCCGACCAAGGGTGAATGCTGGTGACCCCTCGAAGGGTCCACCTCTATCCTGCTGGATGACTCAGGTTTTGTCCCTGCTTAGTTTTCCTCAGAAACGCATCGCATTCTGATCCTCAGTCCAAATGCACAGCAGAAACTCTCTCCAAACCAAGGCTTCTTCCAGCTGACAGCACTGTGGCCCGCCCCACCCCCCACACAACCCCGGGGCTGCCCTACTGCAGTCACCCCTCACTGTTTTGCTCCTCCTGGGGGAGTGGAAACGGTCCATTAAAGGGCTCTCTCTCTTCTACCCTTTGGGGGTCCTTCAACCTCATTGGGTTTGTTTGCACCTCAGGGCTTCTGCACTAGCTGTTTCCTCTGCCAGAAAGCTCCTTCCCCAGATCTTTGCATGATATTCTCGGCCCTCCAGTGTCCACGCTTGCCACTTTTGGGGGACAGCTTCCTGACCCACCCTTTCTAAAGCACTCTCACCACAGACATTCTCTAGCCCCTGGTTTTATCTTCTCTTTTGTACCTTTCATGTTTGTAAGTTTCCTACTTATGGGTTTACTTGCTTGTTGTCTGCTGTTCCAGCCTCCCTCCCCACAGCTAGAATTAAGTTCCCCGGGCTCAGGGATGCTGTCTTGATCACTGAGGTATCATCAGAGCCCAACACAACACCCACAGAGACCCTCCCCCCATTATCTATTTATTTTTTATTGTTGTTCTATTACAGTTGTGCCAATTCCCACCCCCCCATTGCTCTTCCCTGCCCTGCCCAACCCCCACTCCCACAGTCAATGCCCACCCTGTTGTCATGTCCATGGGTCATTCATACATGTCCCTTGACTAGACTCTTCCCCTTCTTTCCCCCATTATCCACCTCCTCTATCCCTCTGGTCACTGTCAGTCTGTTCCTTTTTTCCATGTCTCTGGTTCTATTTTGCTCATTTGTTCATTTTGTTAATTAGGTTCCACTTATAGGTGAGATCATATGGTATTTGTCTTTCACTGCCTGGCTGATTTCACTTAGCATAATGCTCTCCAGTTGCATCCATGCTGTCACGAAGGGTAGGAGCTCCTTCTTTCTTTCTGCTGCATAGAATTCCATTGTGTAAATGTACCATAGTTTTTTGATCCACTCATTTACTGATGGGCACTTAGGTTGCTTGCAGCACTTGGCTATTGTAAATAACACTGCTATGAACATTGGGGTGCCTAGGTTCTTCTGAATTGGTGTTTCAAGATTCTTGGGGTTTAATTCCAGCTGTGGGATCTCTGGATCAAAAGGCAGTTCCATTTTTAGTTTTCTGAGGAAACTCCATACTGTTTTCCACAGTGGCTGCACCAGTCTGCATTCCCACCAACAGTGCACGAGGGTTCCCTTTTCTCTACAACCTTGCCAGCACTTGTTGGTTGTTGATTTATTTATGATGGCCGTTCTGACCGGTGTGAGTGGTATGTCGTTGTGGTTTTAATTTGCATCAGAGACCCTTTCTAAGTCTCAGTTCCTCCCTCTGAAAAACGAGGAGGTTGGATCAAGTGACCCAGAAGTTTCCTCTCAGCAACAGAGACAAGAGCCCGGCCATGTGATGAGGACATTGGGAGTAGAAGCAGGCCATCCTGCCCTCCAGCCTCAGCTCTGTGGTTGACAACTGTGACCTGAGGTGGGCCCTGTCTCCCCAGGCCTCTGTGTTCTCCCTTGTTGGGTGACGTGAGGGTTCAGTGAGATGAGGCGTGCGAAGTGCCCAGTCCAGGGTCCAGGACATGGAGGGAACCTATGAGTACCAGCCACTGCTACTGAGAGTGAGGGTCCAGGATGTGAGCGTGGGCTCTGGCAGCCACACGGTCACTTGATGGGATGCCCTGGAGACCCCAAGGCAGTGCCGGAGTCTGGGGTCCGCGATTCTCCATGTGCGCACAGCCTACCTGTACTTCCTTAACAGCTTCCAATCATTGGACATTTAGGCGAAAGCATCCTTGTATCTAAATATTCTAAATATACACTGATAATTATTTTTTTTCAGAATACATTCCCCCAAATATAATTGCTGGAAAAGGGGATACAAAACTTAAATAATATTCACCCATATATAGATAGAGCTAATTTATCCTCTTCAAACATGAAAAGTTAGAATTCCACCAGGTATGAAAGTGCCAACCTCCCTGTCTCTTTGACAACAGGTAATTTAACTTTAAAAGTCATTGTCAGTTTGTTAGGTTAAGAGAAAAGTATATCTCCTTTTACTTTTAATTTGCATTTCTCTGGTTAATGATTATAGTGAGTCCCTGTCATTATTTTCATTCCTTAAGTGCACTGCTGTTTAATGCCCATTGCTGCAGTGGAAGTCATTCCTTTAATGTTTTGTTGTAACGCACCCTTGCTATTTTTCCACCTTTTACTATTATAATTTTCTTTGATGTTTAACTGTAATGTGAGTAGATTTCTGGTTAATTCAGCTCCTGGCTATTTGAAAAGTACTAAAATTACTTGAATGTGTCTTTCTTTAATTAACTGCTTTAGGCCTAAAATGGACGAGGTGCCCTGGACTTCTCTCCTCCTGGATCTCGCTCCTGTGCATTCTGTCCGATGCACACAGAGGCATCGGTGCCGCTTGCGTCTGTCTTTGAGTCCCGTCTGGTCAACCTCATGACTCCATTCGGATGACGTCTGCAGACTCTTCCCTTCCTGTCCAGAACGTGCTGCCGGGGCATCCTTCAAGGCTTCTGTGACCCTCTTAAATTCGTTAGGAGTGCAGATCAGGGTGTGGTCTCACCAGGAGGTATGAGTGCCATTTAAAAAATTCCTTAATATATTTTATTGAGGTTTTCTTTTTTGTGTGGGGACACTAGGGGGATCAAGATCATATTGTTTATTCAATTTGACCTTGGGGTGAACACAAGCCCCTGCAGACCCTTTTCACGTGTGTGCTTATAAATCTGTATCTTTTCTATCTCAAAAACCGTTCTTCGTTCCGGGGACAAGGGCAGAGGAAGGGTGGAGAACACTGGAAATATGGCTATTTGCCTCTCTGCAGGCAGAGCCCTTGGAACGGGACTCAGGTGTAGCTAAACCCTGAGAGGTGACCTCATTCTCCCAGTCTGTGCGAGTACCCAGCTGGAGTTTTTGCCACCTCCTTCTGTCCCAGGCCATTCATCACCGCCCAGGTGAGGCCAGCACCAATCTCCCTTGGGCAAAACAAGGACAGCAGGAAGGGACAATTGTCTGAGAACAAGTAATAGTTGTTCTTGAAGCAGGTCTCCCACTATTCAGGGTGGGAGGACTTCTTCCATTGGAAAGCCAACACGGAAAGCTGATTAATTACCCATCGTCTGAGGTCAAGTGTATGAGATGCTAAAAGTTTCTGAGAAAATAACTTTTTATAGATTGTCCCACTTACTGACAGGTTGTGCTCCAGCATATTTCT